ATCGACACCGCGTGCTTGCTCGGCGCCCAGGTTGGCTCGGTCCTGGGCACAACGCCGCTGCGCGTCGACAGCGCGAGCTGGGGGGCGACCGAGTCTGTGGCGGTGGCGAACCGCGCGCCATTGCTTTGGCGTCCCCCCCCCCCCTCCCCCCCCCCCCCCCCCCCCACCCCCACCCGCCCACCCACCCGCCCCCCTTCCCCGCCACCCCCCCATGCCAGCCATCAGCAATGCCCGCTGGAGGCAGCGCCTGTGTCGGTTTCGCAGCGAAGACCCCCCCCCTTCACCATTATTTGCGCGGCAGGTCGAACGCTGGCAGAGGTCGCCCAAGTCCTCCCCCAGCCGAGCCTTGTCGCCACGTCGCAGTTGCCGCGCGCAGCCAGGAAAACTCGAGCGGCGCGGCCTGGGCCCTCCCCCCATCAACCCAGCCCTTCCGCGCCCTCGAGCTGTCACGCTTGCGCCATTCATGGCGCGGCCGCCCGCCCTTGTAAGTGCGCGCGCCGCGCGCCCTTCCCGCGTCGAAGGCCAAGCATTTCGCCCGCGCCGAGCAGTCGACTCGACGCGGGTCCCGAGCGCGCGGCGCCTGCGCTCGCGTTCTTACCGCGTCGTAGCCAAGCTCCGCGCATTGGCAGCACGCCTCCCCCCCGTCCCCTCCCCCTCCTTCGAACCAGCGCACCCCCCATACTCTGCTCCCCCCCCCCCCCCCCCCCCCCCCACACACACACACACCCACACACCCAATCCCCCCTCACCCCGCCTGCCCGCCCACCCGCTGGCACTCCCCATGCCCCTCCGATCTCCTCCACGCACCCACCCACCCGCCCTCCCTTCCCCGCGCGCACCCACCCACCACACTATCACACCCCCACCTTCCCACCGAATCACCGTTTTCGGTTCCCGCATTCCGTCGGTGGCAGCAAATTCTCGACGCCTCGCGTATCCCCACCAGCCCATTCAGAAACGATCAGCAGGGGAGTTGGTGAATCAGGGGCGGCAGGACGCAGGCAGTCGCGCAGCCGTCTTCGAGACAACAAGGATCACGCATGGCATAGCTTCCCGCATTGAATATAAGATGGGCATCGGTGCAAGCTGCGATGGCTTCGATGAGGGGTGAGGGGTGCTTCGATGACTTGTAATGGCTGTTGCACTGATGTGTGTATTAAGCTCGCGTGCGTTCCGAAACTTGGAGGCATCTTGGGGCTCTCTTGGGGTTCTCTTGGGCCCCTCTTGGGGCATCTTGGGGTTCTTTTGTTGGTGCTCTCCTGAGGTTCTTTAGGGCGTGCTTGGGGCTTCTGGAACTCTTTTGGGGCGTCTTGGGGCCGTCTTGGGGCTCTTTTGGGGGGTACGTGGGCCTTCTTAGGGTTCTTTTGGGATGCCTGAGGTGCCTCCCGGGGCAGTCTTGGTCCTCATGGCTAAAGAAGGGGGGGGGGGGGGTCAATTCGCCCCCCACCCCCCACCCTCGGGGGAGCAAAAATATAGTATTGGGGCCCTCTTGGCCCGCTCTTGGGGCGCTGTTGGGGCCGCCTTGGGGCTCTCTTGGGCCCTCGTGGGGCTGTCTTTGGCAATCTTGGGGCCATCTTGAGGCCGCAAGGGCCCTTCGCAGGCGGACAAGCGAGAAGGCAACCACCATTAATTTCCCTTGGGTGTTTGACTGATTTTGGCTCCTTGGGGGGGGGGGCCCTTTGGCTTCGGAGGGCACTTGAAACCGTCTCGGTGCCTTATTGCGGCCTCTTGGGCGCGCGTCGGGTGTTATCTTGGCCCGTCTACCGCTATATTAGGCCATCTGGGAGGCCATCTTGCGCTCTCGGATGCCCTTTTGGAGCCATCTTGGACGCCGCTATGGGCCCGCCCCCCGCCCCTCCCCGCCCAAGCGCAGGGGCGGGGGGGGGGGGGGGGGGGGGGGGGGCAAACCCTCCGAGCAGGGAGCGGAGCGGCAGGAGGTTGGAACAGGAAACGCCCGAGACCACCTGCGCCCAGAGGGCAGGTTTTTTTTTTTTTTTTTTTTTTTTTTTTTTTTTTTTTTTTTTTTTTTTTTTTTTTTTTTTTTTTTTTTTTTTTTTTTTTTTTTTTTTTTTTTTTTTCGCGCGCGCCCGCCGTCGAAGCAACCGCGTCAATGGCGTAGATCCCACCAGCCCTCTGGGCGCAGGTGGTCTAAGGGCGTTTCCCTTTCCAACCTCGTGTCTTTCCCTGCTCGGGAGGTCGCCCCCCCCCCTCCCTTCCCCCCCCCCTCCGCGCTGGGACGGGAGGGGGGGTGGGGGTGGGGGAGCGGGCGCATAGCAGCGTCCAAGATGGCCCAATATGGCTCCAAGAGGGCATCCGAGAGCGCAAGATGGCCCCGAGATGGCCCAAGATAGCGGCAGGCGGGTCAGGATCGCCTCCGACACGCGTCCAGGAGGCTTCAAGACGGCCCCGAGACGGTTTCAAGTGCCATCCGAGGCCCCCAAGGACCCACCCACATTTTGTCTAAAACCTAAAGCAACTTAAGGCTGTTTGCCTTCTCGCGTTTTCGCTTCCGAAGGGCTCTTGAGGCCTCAAGATGGCCCCAAGATGGCACAATGCAGCCCCAAGAGGGGCCCAAAAGGGCCACACGACGGCCCCAAGAGCGCCCACGAGCGCTCCAAGAGCGGGCCAAGATAGTCCCAAGACTGCGTTTTTGAGGCTCCGAAGAGGGGGGGGGGGGGGCAAGAGTTGAGCCCCCCCCCCTCCTTTAGCCATAAGGACAAATACTGCCCCAAGGGGCCCCTCAGCCATCACAAAAGAGCCCCAAGGAGGCACCCAGACCCCCCACAGAGCCCCAAGACGCGCCAAAACTAGCCCCAAGACGCCCCGAGCATGCCCTAAGAGAACCTCAGGAGAGCCCCAAGAAAGAACACCAGGAGGCCCCAAAAAGGGCCCACATAATCCCAAGAGAGCCCCAAGATGCCTCCAAGTTTCGGAACGCACGCGAATTTAAGACACAAATCAGTGCAGCAGCCATTACGAGTCATCGAAACACCCTTCACCCCTCATCGGAGCACCATCGTAGCGCGCACTGGTTCATCTTAAACTTCAATGCGGGAAGCTATGTGTGACCCTTGTTTTGTCGAAGACGGCTGCGCGACTGCATGCGTCCTGCCGCCCTTGGTTCACCAACTCCCCTGCTGATCGTTTCTGGATGGGCTGGTGCGGATACGCGAATCGTCAATAATTTGAGTAAATCGTGCTGCTCAGCGAGGCACTCGCTACCATTATACAACAACGCCTTGGGCCGCACATTCTGTCAACGCCGCGGCATATAAGACTCCCGCGCCCGCGTTCAGGTGTCGCCGTTCTTTTCTCGTCAGCGCGTTGTGTTGCAGTGCCGTCGTTGTCTGCATTGTTATTTTACCACCTTCGACCGCACATTGCGATGGCGCGTCGCCGCGTGCCGCCCTTTTCAAACCAATCGCAACCTGCGCCCTGGCTGGCTAAAAACGTCAGTTCCCGATGGTTTGTCGTCCGCCGCGCGTTGTCCAGCGGAAACATGTTTTTTCCAATACAACGATCATGTTGTTGCAGTATTTGTTTTGGCGCGGCGAGGGGCGCCTTCGGTGATCATTGTTTTGGGCATGTCTGCGTGTGGCTGTATGTTTGTAGCCTAACACTGCACAAGGTTATCTGTGGTGAGAGGGAGGGGGGGCGCACGTTGCGCATATGTCGTTTGTTCGTTCGCTCAGCATTGCGAGCGTTGAAGTATACAACATGTGTGTCCGTATACGCGATGTAAGCTGTCATAGGTTTTCGGTTCCATGTGCCACCCATCCGCTTGCTCTCTTAGGGTTATATAAGTCCGAAGTCGCACGTTGAGCTCTCGGGTGCCTACGGGGGGGGGGGGGCAACGTAATGACAAGACAACAAAGACATGTGTATAGCATGCATGTATTACAATGTCCAACGTATTTGGTGTCGCGGTCTGGTGCTAAACTCTGTTTGGGGTCCACGTTGGTCAAATCCGCGGATGTTGTGCGGCGTGCGGCCTGGGCCGCGACTTGGAATGATCAGGGCTAGAACGACGGTTTCTTGTCGTCATGTTTGAGCCTCGTTGCTTGTCCTGGGCGTCGATTGGTCGAATGCCATGGCCTGTCCTGTTCCGCGGGGCTGTGTTCTGCTATGTTTGGGCTCGAATGCGTTCAGGGCCACCGCGTGGCCCTTCAGTGTGTCCCGATTTCCCAGCAGAAGTCAGGGTTCAGTGCTGCGCCAGCGGCGCTGCTGTCCGATGGCGGGGGCTAGCAAGTCTGCGGGTGCCGAGGGCAAGGCCCATCCGAGGGCCCGCGCTGGCCGCGGTGGCGGCGGCGGCGCTGGAGACGACGGCGGCGACGGAGGGGGCCGCCGCAAGAAGGGCAGGGCGTTGCGCACCTGCGGGTCTTGCGACGCTACTACGGAGGACATTCGGAATGTAAGCAGGGTCCTTTTGTGAAGGGGCGAAGCTTTCACGAAGTAAGGGGTGAGGAACGACGGTCGCAGGACAATGAGGATAAGGATTGGGGAGCGGCGGAGGGCAGACTAGGACTAGGAGGAGCTTCTGTTTTTCCGTCCCCAGCTCCAGTGAGGTTTCGGCAAGCCCACCCGACAGTCGGCGATGCATTGGCGATGCGGTTGTTGATGTAATCTGGGGCAATTGCCCACATCCGTTCTGCTCCCCCCATCTTTCGAACCCATGGGGTTCGGAAGCTGTGTCCTGATGCGTCGGCGTCTCTGGCATCTTTAGGGGACTGCGTTTCGAGTCTCACAAGCGGGGCCTTGCAGGATAAGAAGTTCACCGACGAAACCTACGAGATCGAGTCCGACGGGGGGACTGTGACGTTCTACGGCTGCGAGGCTTGCGTGGTTTGGTGTGCTGAGCATCTTCCTGGCGTCGACTTCGCGACGATCTGCCTGGACAAGAAGACCGACGCTGAATTTGCTGAGGAGCTCCAGTGCGGGATGAGCCGTGAGTCCTCCATGCATGGAGTATCGGCGGCGACAGCGTCAGGATCGGAGGCGTGATGTTCGAGGACTTCGTGGCGCCGAACCACCACCAGGTGATGATGGCGTGGGGCAAGACTGCTAAACAACTTAGGTTGAAACCATTGACGTGGAAGTCGAAGGCAGGCTCCATCACGGTCTACCCCATGAAGAAGAATGATGACACAAGCTGGATGAGGCTCAGGATGTTCTCAGAGATGACGAACTGCGCTTCGACCAATCGCCTTTCCGAGACCGACGGCGTCATGAAGGACCAGCACACGCGCGTCTTGGACGGCCTTTTGAAAGATGATGGGAATGAGAAGGCGCAGTATTCTACGTTTCGGCTCCCGTCCCTCGCGTGCATCAACGAGAGGTCTGCGCAGCTGGGGGGCAAAGTCTTGGCTTTGCAGCCAGACGGTTCGGGCAGCGCAGCGTCGTCAGGAGGTCGCTCGCCTGCGCCCGTCCAGCGAGCCGCGTCCTCCTACGACCTCACCTCGTCACCGATTTTGCCACTTGCGAGCCATCAGCCTGCGCTCATGGACGGTCGCGCTGGGGATGAAGACGATGATGGCATGGGTGAGGAAGATGACGATGGTCAGGACGACGGCTCAGTTCTGCGTGACGATTCACAGCCAGCTGGGCGCTTCGTGGTTCGCAGCCGCGAGCCATCCATGTCGCCACCTGCGGGGGGGCGCCCCAGAGGAAGTGGCAGCGGTAGGTTCTCGACGACCAAGCCCGCGGCTCCGATGAAGAAGACGCCATCCGACCCGAACTTGCAGAAGGGTACTCCCGAGTATTGGTTCGCACAGATCAGTCTCTCAGACTTGATGTGCGGCGGGAAGCCTGGGCAGGGGCCGTACCAGCTCGAGATGCTGCTCACCAAGGTCGCCGAGGGCAAGCGCCCGCAGATCAGGAAGTACATGGACCTCATCCAGAGGGCAAAGGACATCGCGAAGATAGAAGCGCTTGACATCGAGACGCTCGACGAGCACATGGAGAAACTGATTGCAGCGAATACCGAGGTGCCCGTCTCAGTGCAGTTCAACATCTTGAAGAAGAAGGCCGACGTATTGTGGAACAAGTGGGTTGTCGACATCAGCAATGAGGAGCCGCTCATCAGCTACCTTCAGATGTTCCGCCCGTGGGACCAGCAGGCACCTGTCTTTTTTTGGGGCGGGCGTGCCTTGCAAATCTCAACGTGCCTTTCTGCGCGGTCCTGGGGCCCAGCTCTGTGACCCGCCAGATCGCATCGATCGGGTCTTGGTTCGGACGTTGTTCGCATCAGCGGCAAGGCTGGATGCTTAGGAGGTTCGAGAGTGGCGTGGGTGGTGGTTCGGAGGAGGAGGGGAGGATGCATGATGTTGGACGGAGGGGGGGGGGGCAGTGCAACAGATGATTGCCTTGGATATCGATCCCTTGCCAGGCCCAGTCGCCCCCGTTCGCCCACCGCACGCCCACCCTCGCGAGCGTCGGCGCCACAGACGTGCAGAGGGCGGTCACTTTCATGGAAGAGCTCGTTGCGCACCGCATTATTCCTTTAGTTTTGGGCGACAAGCAGAAGGAAGCGTGCCTACTGGAGCTTGCGAACGTTGGCAAGGCGGTCCTCACGTTATCAGAGGAAGCACACATCGAGAACAATTGCGCCCAGAATCTCGTGGCAACGCTTCAGCTGTTCGACGTGTTCATTGCGCTGGCCTCCCAGACGATCGACGGTTCGGTCGGTGCCTCCACCTACGACGACATCCTCTCGCTCACTACTGGTGGTACTGACGCGTGGGGCCAGGTCGGCGCAGCCCTCGAGGAGTCACCGATGTGGAAGGAGCACATGGCGAGGATTTCGAAGCAGCACAAGTCCTACAAGGAGTTCGCCCCGAAGATTGCAAAGGACATGGCGGAGTGCGGCGCCATGCTGAGCGGCAAGATGGATGACTTTCCGACGGTGGCATCGTCGCTGTTGGGCCGCCTGCCAGCTTACGTCACGCGCCTGGGTTCCTTGGCCGTCGATGCGCTGGAGACCAAGCTGCTGACCGCCATTGTCACGAAGGCTCGTGGGTTAGACATCCCAGTGTCTGCCATTGCATTGGCGGGATCGCCAGGCACGCATTCATATCATTATGCAGTTTTCTCTAGAACCCATTATACATGCGTGCGTGCAGCGTAGCAACTAGAACTGTGTCGGCCGTGGCTTGATGATCCGTATGTTCATGCATGGTTATCTGAATATATGACGCTTCGCGTATCCTCACCAGCCCATACAACAACCAGACACTTGAAATTTGAGCGCCGATCATCGGCAGTCCCCCTCCTCCTCCTCCTTATCCTCCTCCTTCTCCTTCGCTGCCGTCTCTTGCTCCTGGTGACGTCTTGGAGATCTTGTGGAGCGTTTCGGTAGGCTCGCGGGCCTGGTGGGCGCGCGCGCGGCGCCCCGCGCGCCCGCGCGCGGGGCCCAATAGAAGGTGCCAGAACGTATATGTGGGGCCTTCTTGAAGGGCATCGATCAATGAATGGGGGTGGTCCAACGTGGCCTCCCCGCCCTGGGGCCCACAATAATCGCATCCTGGGCACCTCTTGGGACGCTCTTAGAGCGCCCTTGGGCGCCTCTGGGGTCTTTCCGAGGCTGTGGTGGGCCCCTCTTGGGGTCCTCTTGGGCTCTCTTGGGGCGCCGTTGAGGCCCCGAATTGCCATCGGAAGTGAAACAGCGATACGCCAAACACCATTGATTCGTGGTAGGCGTTTCAAGGACGTTGGCCTCTTCGGGGTCCCCTTGGGGAGGTGTTCGGTGCATTGGGGCCGTCTTGGAACGGCCCTGGTGCCTCTTAGGTTGTCTTCGGGACAGGTTTGAAAGAGTTTGCCTGGTCTCCAGAAATCTTGGAGGCCATCTCGGGTTCCCTGAGGCTCTCGCGGGGCCGTGCTGGGCCCTCCCGTGCGTTCTGTCCGATCGCCGCGCCCCTTGTCCAGGTCCAGGGGGGGGCGCGGGGGAGGGGCAAACCTCTCCCCGAATGGGAAGAAGCGTGTTGAACCATGAAGCTCCATAGACCACCCACGCACTAAAAAGGCTGCTGGGGCTCCCACATGTCTGTTGTATATCATGTGCGCACGTGTATTTATATATTTCAACGCCTTCGGCTAAGCCCGCCGCCGTGCCTGGGTTGCTGGAAGGATGTGTTGGCATGTGTCAGGTTTCCTCTTACGGCGCACCTCTCGGGAGACGTTGTCGGGTTGGGTGCGTTCGGGAACACGGTCGAACACCTTTGGGTTGCATTGGGCCTTTGCGGGGCGTTGCTTGGGGCGTCTCGGGTGCAGCTCGGTAGCTTCTCGAAGCAATGTTGGCGGCATCTTTGATGCAGGTGAGGGGTGCATGTGATTCCTTGGGGCTGCGGGATCGGAGTGGTTCAACGCTTCGGGCGTTTAGCTTAACTATTTGCCAGCGGTGGTCTGCGGTTCTCTGCGCCCGCAAACGTAGCGCTAGAGCCGCGCGGCTGCATTCGAGAACCCTCCCGCAGATTCTCACATAATGGGTTCCCGAACCCCGTGCAGATTTCTCAGGATTGAAGGGCGGGGCGTGCGAGGTGGTGGTCGGGCCTAAAAAAACGCACACTCTGTGCCCGCGGGTGCGCGCGATGTGCCACCTAGCCGTGGGTTGCGGCGATCCTCACTGGGCAGCGCTGGCGCAGGCGCAACTCAAGTACCCACAACGCGATCATTACGCCAATGTTTCAGCATCAAGCGACGCCCTTGGCGCGGCCACCCCCCTGGCGGCAATGCGTTACCGCTGGCGCAACGTATGGGCCGATGCGGTGCCAGCTGTTTGTGCCACGCGGTAGCGCGGCGTTTGCGTTGCGGCAGACACCGATGCCGCGCGCAACCGCCACCCTCGTGACCAAGGAACAGAGCACCGCGAAAAGACCGACCGCCAGAAACATAGGACCAGCGGTCGCGACGCGATTCGCTCTCCTCAGGCCGCGCCAACATCATATATATTTTTAGTAGGCCACATACCGCGCCGAGAACAGCGGCGGTGCCAGAGCAACCACAGGTCGGCGTTGTGCAATTTGGGCGGTGGCTCGCTGGCGCGGTGTAGGACGGTTGGGGGGGGCGCGCGGTGCGGGCATGCGGGTAGGGCCCGAAAGTGGCCGCAATCCAAAACGTGACGGCGAACCAATCGGGTAAGGTTGAGACAACCGTGGCATGTGCATAGCCAGCGAAACCAACAACTGGTTTCCGAGCCAATGCCCATATGGCGAACGAATGTGTCATTGGAGCCGTCGCGTTTTGCGCGTGGGTCGCGCGAGGATGGCGCGTTGTCAAGGGCCGCGCGTTGGCTTGCGCTTGCGTGCGAAGCGGGCGGGTTCCAGATTCGAACGTCGGCTGCTTTGTGGTAGGGGGCGCCTGGCCCGTCGGCAAGCGGGCGCAGGTGTGCGTGGCGGCTGCGGTGGCACGATAGCCATTGTTGGGCAACGGGCTGCATTGGAGACTTGGGGCAAGCGGGTTGGCGAGCGTGTGCAGTGTGGTGAGCGCGCGCAGGGTTGTCGTTGGGCGAGCGCGAAGGCGGGCGGGCGGGCGCGTAATGCGCGCGATTCGCGGGCGGCATGCGCCCGTGCCGCGCCAATGCGCATTGCGCGGATGGGCCGCGTAGGCACAGGGTGAGCGCGGGCGGGGCGCGCGCAGTTCGGATGGAGCGTTCGAGGGAGCATGTAGGCTCGCGCGGCGCAGGCGCGAGCGCGTGGTGGTGGGCGGAGGGGAGCGCGCGGGGGGTGTGCATCGCGTGCCCGCGACGGCATGGTGTAAAGTTATGGCGTCGTGGTTTGGTACGGAACTGGGCCGAGCGCCACTTGGGCCCACGAACACTTGCGTACAGCTGTTGGGACACGGTTGTTTCCCATGGTTGCTTTTGTGGGCGTTGCCCGCGACTGGCCACGAACGCATTTGGATTTCTTTTGGGCAATGTCGCAACGAGCGCCCGATGAGGCCCCGAGCGGCAGCACGTTTGAAAGTTCATCGCGCGGCGCCGCGCATGCGCGACTTCCTGTGGTACCCTGGCGCGTTTGCCCTGTCGGGCTGCGCCGAGGCTGCGTCGCATGCTTGCCAGCATGTTAGAGTATTGCATCAGGGCCGCGATAGGACCAGCGACCGCCATGCTGTTACAGTCGGTTGTTATGTGGTCAGCGCTCTGGCTTCGGGCGGCTACGTCGCGCGCAGCCCGCGAGTTCTCCGCGCTGCGCGGCTTCGCGGAGGCCGCGACAGGGTTCCCAACGTTCACGGGCGCCGTCGACACACCAAACCCATGGCGCGTGGGCACTCGCGCCGCCGTGCTTCAAGAACGCCGCGCTGTCGCGAACAAGCGGTGGCGTTTCCGTTCACAGTGCAAGGCGCCTTTTGCGCCTTTTCCACGCGCCGCGGCACCATGTTGCGCGCCGCCGACTTGCGCTCAAATGGGCGGCTTTCGTTTTCACATTAGCGCGGCTTGCCTCCGCGCCCATCGAGCGCGCCGCGCGGCCGAGTTGCCTTTGCAATTCAGCGCCACGCCGACGCAATAATTGCGGCCCGCGGCCGAGGGCGCTGCAGCGCTTGCTCTCCCGCCCTCATGCGATGCAAGGCGCGCGCAAGGCGGATCGGTCGGGCATGGGGCTGCCGCCCATCTCAACACCGCGCAATGGGCAAGCCAGGTTGGCCGCGGCCCGCGCGCAGATTGTCCTGGATCGGTTTGGCCTTCGTCCTCTCATAAACAGCGCCTCCAGCGGCGTCCGCACTTGGCTTGCCCGCGGGCGGGCCGCCGCGGGGAAGGCGACGATGTCGCGCGTCGTCCCTTGTCTTGCGCAGCCTGCCCGCAATGTATGCTGGCCAGTATACGCGCATATGGTTTAGTAAGACAGGCACAGCGCAGGCGCATGTTCCAGCCAGTTGGTCGCAGGCTCACTTGAACGCGGGCGCGCCCGCGGCGGCTGAGATTTGCGAGAAGATGGCGGCGGGGCCGTGGGCGGCGCATATCTCCAAAGTCGGTTCCGACCGCCGTGCTGTCCATGCCCAGCAGAACAGCGCCCCGCGCAAAATGAACGCGACGCTTGGCGACGGTGACCGCGGCATGGGTGGCAGGGGCGGGGCTGGGCGTCGTTTCGAACGTTCGCTGTTGAAAGCGCAAAGGTTGCGGAATGAA